TGTGTGTGTGTGTGTGTGTGTGTGCTCAGACATGAGACCGTGGATTTACTTTTCACCCACCTGATGTCAGTGTAAAATGACCTTATCACAACTTGAATTTCTGAGTTAATCTGACACTGTTGATTTTAATCTATAATTAGTCCAAAATGTATTTTACACAAATAATCACGTATACTTAGGTCAGTGGATCAGATTAGGAAGCAACAGGACAGGTTGTCCTATTAAATCTAATCCTATACACACACGTTGCACTGTTGTCCCAATAAACCTGATGAGATGCGGCTATTCTGATTTAAAGCTGACAATCTTCAGTTGCAGCTTGTTCGCTGCTGCTCCACTCCCCTTGTTTAACAGGTCAATGTGTCCGATTTTCACTCTATTTAGTCACGTTTGTTTTACTCAAGGCCCATTGTGTGTAACAGACATGTATCATGTCATTTCCAGTGAATATCTGTGCTGATGTCTCGTATGATATTACAGTATTTGGCCATTGAGTCAGGGCCTGTCTGGTATCAGAGGACTGTCCCCTGTGCCGCTGTCCTTCTGGTCCTCCAAGTGATGCTGATCTGAATTTGATGTTGTGTGACACATCGAGTCTGGAAGACATGGGGGCCCCGGAAATGTCTCATGGCTCAAAGCAATACTTTGCGTGTGTGTATGCGTCTATGCACATTGCTCTCGTGTGAGGAGATTGGAGAGGATAACCACGCAAGCTTCATGCTAGAGTACACACAGCGTGGAGGACAAGAATAGACTCACACTAGTGCAGATGCTTGTTGGCGCTGATGGGAGTACACGTGGAGCAAGTGCACGTGAAAATCCCCTCCCCCTCACTGATGACGTCAGACCCTGTACAGTATGTTGCCACTGGCACCAAGTATGGGCCCATCCCCCGCTCCTGCATCATCTTCATCATTTCAGCTTTGGGGAGTTTTTCAAGTGTGTGAGACACACACTCACACACACACACACACACACACACACTGAACACACAAAGGAAGCAAGCATCACTGAGACACAGTTTTAAACACACTCACAAACACACATGCAGATATATATCATCTTTATCCTCAATGCTGTGGCATCCTCATGCAGCCGTTGTGTCTTTCAGCATTACCCATAATCCTCCTTGGGAGTCAATCTAACTCCATTTCACTTTAATCCCATAACTCTCTGGTGCATTCAGTTGTAGAAAATTAATAGCCAAGATAATGTACACTGTAGGAGGTACTGAAAGGGGCAACTAAGGACAAACATGCATTGTCAAGCTCACACATGCTCTCATTAACACACACCTTTATCTATGTGCTTCTGGTTTGGGGTTTTAACGTTTACAACCATAGAGTGTATTGATTTTCCAAAAGCACAAACAACCTGCGACACAAATCACAAGAACCTCAGTCAGTTTGTCTCTGTAAGTCTTTGTTGAACATGAAAACTTTGATCAGTAGAGTATCAGCCTTACTTAAGTGTCGTCCTTGTCATCAAATGTCCGTGAGTGCTTATTGGCAGCGTGTGCCGCCAGAGACATGCCACTCTTGTATTGAGCTTATCCTCTGCAATGAACAGCTGTTTGACATTGATTGTGTTGGTTCAGAGTGACTGAATGGAGAACATGATGCTGCTTGGGAGTGGAGCTTGTATGTGTGTGTGCGTGTGGTTGTATTTCTGATTAAAATGCAGCTGAAGAACAGGAACTATATAAGTCAGTTGATGGATTGCCCTGCATGGCAGAACGTTTGCAGTAACAACACACAAAGTGCCACAAATTAAACAGACATCTTTATTAAAGGTCAATGCTCCATCACCTCTGTTCCCCAGTGCAGACCACATGCACATTGTAGTTAAAAAAAAAGTGCCATCTTTGTAAACAGTGTTTTGGATGAGAGGAGAAGAAGACAAGTGCAAGAAGGACACAAGTCAAGAATAAGCATTGTAAAAAAACAGAAGGAATTCTGGGAATGTTGTTCTTCGGAGCAGGTGGTGAAGCTGCTGACCCCACCGTCCCCACAGTCCCAACCTTTAGAAAACAAAATAGACACATGTGCCGTCACTTGATTGTTCACATGTTCTTGCTCTAGTTTGCTCTGAGTTTTCTGCTGTGATGTATTAGATCAGCTGTCATAGTGTTTTTACGAGTGAGAAAAAAGTCGGAGATGAGGGTGGGGTTGAGGTTTGTGTGATGAGATCATCATCTCACACGGTTTCTCTCTGGGTTATGTTCGACATGTTGCAGCACATGCAGGGTGTGACGATAACTCCTGGCTCTTGGCCGGGCTTCAGCTGATCCTGAGGACCTGAGGAATAAGTCTGGATGTATTTACCTGAGGAGACAGTCTGCGTTTTTTTGAGTTGTCAGCCACATATTCAGACAGCGCTTCTATATAGACACACTATTCACACACAGTCTTCGGAGCCGGTTTGGAGGAAATTAATGTAAATGGGTATCAAACCATCAACCTCCTGAGCTACAGCTGCCTATTCTTTTGCAGAATGATGTTGGAGACTAATGTACAGTATTATTACAGTATGTGCCCATTTAATTAAGCATGTCTGTCACACAAATACATATATACAGTATACTTTACATGTATTTTAGGTCACTGGCTCAGATTTGGAAGCAACAGAACAGGTTGACCTTTAATTAAATCTAATCCACACACACACACACACACATGTTGCATTGTTGTCCCACTAAACCTGATGAGATACGGCTATTTTGATTAAAACCTGGCAATCTTCAGTTCTTGCTTGTTCGCTGCTGCTCCACTCCCCTTGTTTAACAGGTCAACCTCTCAGATTTCGGCTCTATTTAGTCACATTTGTTTTACTGAAGACCCATTGTGTGTAACAGACATGTATCATGCCATTTCTAGTGAATATCTGTGCCAATGTCTTATATGATGTGAGTATTTTAGCCGTTGGGTCGGGGCCTGTCTGGTATCAGAGGACTGTTCCCTGTGCTGCTGTCCTTCTGGTCCTCCAAGTGATGCTGATGTGAATGTGATGTTGTGTGACACACAGACCAGACAGCTCATTTTCAGTTTTGTCCACGGAGGAGGTGAAGGATGTAGCCCCATGAATTGAAACACAGCTTGTGCCCCACATATATGGGGTTGCCATAACAACTGACCCTGTAAATGTGGTCATGGGTTTCTGTGTGTGTGTGTGTGTGTGTGTGTGTGTGTGTGTGTGTGTGTGTGTGAGTGCACTTGCATGCTAATCGGCAAATCGAAGAACGGTCCCAGGGGAAGGAAGGTAAAAGCTTCTCACCCACCCAAGAGCCATCAAGTCCCATTATCTTCAATTTAACATACATGTAACTTAAAAATGAACTAACACCTAATTTGAAGCGCTTTACTGCGTTTTTTCATTATTCAATGCTAAGATGCTGGTATCTTCTCATAAACCCGTCTCTGTTGCTGCTGCTTCTTTTAACAGCTCCCCTTATGGATACTTAAGTAACAGAGTGTGTCTCTGCATGATGTCATTCATTGATTTTCCAGCCTGGCAGTGTGGCCACTAATCTTCTAGAGTGATGCCTTTGTCGATCCAGTCATCAGGACTGATGTTCAACTCGCTGTGATGTGTGGTGACTGATTGCTGTGTGATTTGCAGTATGTTGTGGGGGAAAATAATGGTAGATGGTACAGAGAATATTATTCATTCGGCTCCACGTTGTTACTTTGATTCTTTTAAGTGTTTCCTTTCAATTATGCTTTTATCCCTCCCCTCCCTTTAATTCCCATTGTTCTACTTTACATGTCACAGACGATCATTTTAAATGTAAATCATGTAATTTAGTTATTTGGTATTAGTTACTGTAATATTATGGTTTACCACTAATCCAAAGAATCTCCCTCAAACATGGATTTCAATCTTTCTGACTGCGACCACAATGGGTTTCGTCTTCATTTGTGGTTCCTCTCTTCAGAAATGGAAGTCATCCCTCAGTTTGAGTCTGGAAATGACTGAGGAGCAGATATGATTAACTGCGTGGCTTTGTGTTCTCTCTACAGGGCTGGCATTGATGATGTGGAGACAGATGTGGTGGAGATCGAGGCGAAGCTTGACAAGGTATGAACAATGCTGAAGACTGTGCCACTCCTTAAAAATGTCAAATGTGCTGCATGCGTTTGTAAAACGGTGTTTTATAGAGAAGCATTCAGACATGGCAATGCTTTTACTAAGAACAATTGCAGTACATTTGGCTTGGATTCACACTGTTAAAATGAAAAATGCAAACAGTACTTAATTTAGACAAATGGCTCACTGTATCTCTACCTGTCTGCCTCTCTCTATCTATGTGTGTCTCTCTGTGTGTAATTGTGTTTCTCATTTCTGTCTGTCATCCTCTCACTCTGGTTTATCTAAATGTCAAGGTTATTTAAGCAGGGAAACTCTGCAGACATAAGTTATTATATTTAATAGGTTCATGTGCTGCTAGAAACACACACACACACACACACACACACACACACAGATGCTGATATGGAGCAGCTCCACTGAACAAACACTGATCAGCTTTATATTCTGTCCTATGTGATCATTACACAGAGCAGTCTTTGTCTCTCCTGCTTCACCACACCCTGCTGCCTCCATGCAACATTATAACAAATGATCATTATCACCTTTTCTGTGACCGTGATATGGAATAAAGTAATATTCCACCACCTTGAAATACAAGGTTTCAGTTTCATGCAGTGAAATGTGGCTGCACCATTTTCACAGAAGTGTTGAGTTGAAGGTGACTGAAAATACAAGAATCTTATTTATTGATAAAGAAATAATATGTTCATATCGATGTGACTATTGTATTGAACTAGCAGTGTGTCACAGTTCTACATCCTTGTATCTGTCCCCTGATCCAGATTCTCACTAAAATGTAATTAGCTCCTCCCTGTGTAATACCGCATTCCTCCACCAAGTTTAGTGGTAATTCATCGAATAGTTTTTGCTTAATCCTGCTAACTAATAAACAAACACTGATGAAAACATAACATCCTTGGCGCAGGTAAAATTACTAAAACTGGTTAAAGGCAAACAACTGAATGTGGAGAAATGTCCTAGCTGACCATTCTAAGATCTTTTTTATTTTAATCTAAAGATGGATCCAAAGTGTGGAGGACCAGTGGGAGTGAATGGAGATGTCTCTCTGGGGAGTCTATGAGCTGAGATCATGCCTCTGCAGATAAACTAATAGACTTGTGAGACAGGCAGCATTTAAAGGATGAAATGGTGTTGATGAGGTTAAGCAGTGGCCGCACCCTATTTGGTCTTGTATCCACTAGGCCTGGTTGATATGGCAAAAAATTATATCATCATCAATGAAATATTTTTACATCAGTCTATGTTGATAATAATCAGAATAAATGTCACTTTTTTTATTTCTTTGAAAT